AAATGAGGGAGTCCGACAGTAAATCAGGGAGTATTTGATTCCAGACTCGGACCGTTAATTTTGCACCCTGATGTGCAAAGAACAGGTGACACCTGTGCTCTATGTCATACAGCTCACAAGGTTGCCAAGATGCCAAGATAGGTGTACGTACCAGCTCCATAACTTGACAATTCCACATGGACAAAAGCTGCAGCCCCTTCAGTGCCAATTCAAACATCTCCTTATTTTCTGCCTGTGTTCTAGCTGCTTCCTTTTGTGACGTGGTCACCTAGATTTAACCAATGCAAATTACAGGAGAATGTTAATTCAGCTTTCAGTATTATTTCCCATCAACTATCTGTCATTAACAAGAAATAAATATAAACTTCTAATACTATTTTATTGGCATGTCCTGGTAATTGACTAACACGATTGTTTGTGATGTCTCGTGTTGTGTGGATGATGTAACATGTGCTTTTGATTTCAAGTTCAAAGAGGGTACGCATTACATTAAATCACTGAAGTGACATTATACTGAATGTCATAACGACATCAGTGTATGCCCATGGTTGGGGACTCACCTCATTGCTGTGCTTGGCCAGTTCGCTAATGAACTTTATGTGTTCCTCTCGTATCGACACGAGCTGCTCGACCAGATTGTACTGAGCGCTGGTAGAATTTGCAATCATGCACAGCGGCCATCTTGAAGCATCGAAATGAGAGCTGTTCTTGATGTAGAGGAATGGTGCAATCTGCATGTCTCCGAACAACGGCACGACCTCCAATTGCTGTTCGTGAACAACACGGTTCAATTAATCACCTGCCAACGAATCTATTATAACTAAAAAAATTACTTCATGAATACATTTATATAGTCACTTGGTTAAATTAACCTGCTAAGATTAAATTAATGTACTCAACCGTGTGGCATATGTATAACATGAACCAAAAATACCAATAAGTTCTCTTTGAGACTAACATGACAAAACAATTTTACTAGAAAACCATGAATAACTAATTGTTTATGTTGTTTCCTGCTCTAAAATAATTACCAGTTAGATTAGAATTTAGTTTGAGAGTATTTCTGTTGAGATTTCAACACTACAGTTCGAATAAGAAAGCACATAATGATGAAAACCAAACGTAACCGTATCTCACACGTACCTTGAAAATTTTATCCATTCTTTGGATGTTAATTTTTCGTTTTTGGTCTAGCTTGTAAACGTTACTTGTTTCGCTGTCCATCAGGTAAAGCCCAAATCCCATGACCTACATTACACAATACATACATGTAAAGACAAGTTTCTGTACATTGAACAAGCAGACACATGCACATAAACATACTTATCTGAACCCCTGCTGCAATTCAAATATTGCTAAAACACCACGAATTTGGCTTTTCCCATTTAACAACATCTACTGCATTATTACCAATAAAAGCGTAGGTGTTTCTTAGACCGTAATTACAGAAGACCGAGAATTTTGTGCCAGCTCCGTCTATGACGATGCTGATTCGCAGTGTGTTGAGTGAGCGATGCCTTGACTACTAACCTTCACCAGCATGTGCTTCTCGTGAGGAGTCATGTACATCTTGCTATCGTACATCTGCACACAGATGGACACCACCTCTGACAGCAAGTCTTCATAACCTGCAAGCATGCACATTAAGGTGTACAATTATCAATACAAAGGCATAAGCAGTTCAACCAGATCCGTCACCCGGATGTTTTCATCGCCAACTTCCCAAACGCGAAATATGCGTCAATTAATTACAGATGTAGTACTTATGCAAACAACAAACAACGAAGTGGGCACTGTAAGATAATATTACTGTTACATGTTTAATTTACTGCCTACATGCACCAATACCAGTGTCCAGCAATCTCTCATCATTCAAATTCAGAAAATGGTAGTGGGGATAATGTATGTAGTTTGATGTTATCTATCCCTTGTGGTTCAGTAGTAATTTAAGAGCTGGAATCGTGGGAACTACTGTATACGCTGTATATTTCGCGGTGGTTTAATTTTCGCGAATTTCGCGAACGCGTCCCCGACCGCGAAAATAACAACACGCTGTTCTTCACTGATTCGGGTATTCACCGACCGCGAAATTAACAACTCGCGAAATTGTCCGTCAAAGTCTGAATTCGCGAAAATATCTGTACGCAAAAAATAAGGCGTATAGAGTATATGTCAGCATCTCTGGGATTATCAGAATTGCACGTTGCTGCACTGAGTGAGGTAACAGCAATCGAATAACACACCTGGTATTCCCTCCAAATTCTCCTTCAGCGTCAGCCGGATCTTGTTCTGTGTAGCCAGAAACATCGACAGATTTTGGGATTCCTGCAATGCCTGTGAATCTGCCATCACCTTTAGAAACTGGGCAGCCCTGAAATAGTAACTCATATATCGCTACTGTGCAAAACACAAAACACTCTACTTACAGGATATCAAAGGCAAAGTTTGGCCAATAAAAATAGCGACATATAGAACACCCAAGTCTTAGGTAGTGTGATAGAAACATGTTCTGCTACAGTCACGGGCTAAACTTTGGGCTAATTGAATTTTTAAATTTCCCTGACATTTTAAAGAAAATCAAAAGAAGGGAAAAGAGAGAGAGAATACAACTTTCGGACAAGTGACAGCCCTGCGAAGATGAGGAAGAGAGCGAGGAAGAGGTGGAGAGAGAGAATGAGAGGGGAGAGAAGGAGAGGATGAGAAGGAGATAGGAGGGAAGGGGAGAGAGTGGGAGGAGAAGAGAGAAAGAGAGAGTATGACTAAGGGAGGCCACAGGAGAAAGCACGACAGAGGGAGAGGGAACGGGAGAGATAGGATAGGAGAAAGGTAGGCCACGTCAGATAGCTGAATAGAAGGAGGCAAAAGAGAGAGAGAAAGGAATAGGGCAATGTAAAAACAAGAAGAAGGGAGGAAAGCATTGGAGAGGGAAAAAGAGGTCGAGAAGAAGATGGGAAGAAGATGAAGAGGAACAGGGAGAGATGGTGAGAAGAAGACAAGGGAGAGCGAGACGCTGGACCGCTGCGCGCCGCGCGATCTTCCGCACCTTCTGTATGTGGAGTAGTCGTTCTTGACGCTCGCCTTCATGTTCTTCAGCTCGTCGAGCACGGCGAACATGTTGATGAACTTGCCGAGCGTGAGCAGGTACGCCTCCGACACAAAGTCCTTCTTCTTCTCGCTATGACAGAGCCGCCTCACCTCCCCGCAGAACCTCTCTATCGCCTTCCTCTGCAACAGCCGCGTTTGAGGTCAACTCAACTCACATCCAGTGGGAAATCCACTGGATACATCACCCCTTACTTTATAAGCTACGAATATGTAGCCGACCCGAAACTTAGTCGATTACATGTGAAAGGCCCTATCCGCTGTTGATATCGGGGTACACAGCATTTGACAATACTCTGTGCAATGAAGTGAGAAATATATTAATACACGTGAAAAGTGGTCACATGAATGACATTTATGTTGTTTGCTTCTTTCTAATCTATTTTCTATTTGCCCTAATAAATATTTGCATTATATATTTTTTCTGGATAACTATGATGTGCAAAGATGCTGCTTACTTGAAAATACATGAAGTTCATTAGTTTGTTCACTTCAGGAGCCAACACTTCAACAGTCTTCTCATAGATTTCCTTTCTATTTGGTTGCTCGTTCGATTTTGGCTGAAATAAATAATTTCCAATTTCCAGCGGCAGTTCTCCTAATATCTAAAATGTAAAATCTGCATTTAATAGTTATGCAATTATATTTTTATGCATATCTACCAGAAAATTACAGAGAAACGTGCTGTGGTGTCACGTTACATGGTACATTCTAATTCAAAGCTGAAAAATCTTGCAATCACTAATAATTACTGCAGCGATTTTTACACTTACCTATATGGTATATATAATACTCCACTCACCTGTGGTATCGCTCGAGAGCAGCATCTCCATGTGTATAACATCACGGCATGCTCTTCTCCCTCCGCTAGCAACTCATTCTACATGAAGAATTATAAAAGGGTTCATGGTAAATCTCAGCGTTAACAGTAATTCAGTTATTTTGCTTGGAAAGCTGAATTGATACGCAGTCGGGACTGCACCACAGCGACGAGATTTGTCTATTTGTCCCATTCATCAGGCCCACGTTAGGAAAACGTTTGAATAAATGATGGCTAGAATAGATAGTGATGAATAGATGATACTTTCTCCCAGAATTTGAGAGTATATTATGATAGTACATTCATAAATAATAGCATATACCTACAAAGTTCTATAATTACGCATTCACGTTTGTCATAAAACAACATTCAATTTCGAAATCTTCATTTTTGGGTGCTGACATGACACCTGCAATCATGCTGCCACCCCGAAAAAGTTGCGAATTTGCCAACTTATTTTGCACGTTACAGAGCGAGGGCTAATCACAAAAGTGCAATTATATTTATACCTAAATGCTATTTAATGGAACGATATTCATTTTAGGACAAATTCATCCATATTATAACTGAAACTAAGTGTCATTTATAAGATACTGCAATCATTCTGCCCCTAAATTAATAAATAAGAAACACCCTCAGTCTGTAGCCTGCAGCCGAAATGTTGCTTTGCGCAACTTTTCAGTGGATGCACTGCCAGTGGCGCCACCGTCGTTGTAAGCAACGATATAGCCGTCAGTTTTAAAATATATAAAAAATATTTCTAATTAATATTAAACCATAAAACTTTTTCTGTAGCGTAATGTAAACCAATTTTAGCAGAAAATATATGAAGAACCTAGAGTAATGTATCCCTTTAAATCATATCTAGCACGCGTATTTGGAACCCACTTCTTCCATCTGCGACATATAACACTGAAGTCATCAATCATGCACCCACCAGGCTGGAGGAAAAAATAGCACATGCGAAACATTCATAATACGGGCAATCTTATCTTATCGAATGATAGTTTGTTGCAGGCTCTGACATGTTATAAGTACACAGTAACACTCGTCAAAATATTGTGTCCTGCTCCTATTTGCCTCAATAATCATTATCACGAGGATCGATATCGCTCATAATAATAATGAGATTGAATTCCCTACAATCGTCACAATCACGTGCACCAACATCCAACAATTATCGTACCCACGTACCTTCTTTTTTTACAACCATAATAAACACGTGCACGAAAATCGCTGCAATGAATCATATCATAAATGCACACGAATTTGCTACTGCTGCTGGAATCCAGTGCCAGCGTGTGGTGATTTTCGAATGTGTTAGTGTTTGACGTTCACCCACCAGGTTGGCGTGCACGGTAGCCTCCTCAATGTACTTCGCCACGCCCGTCACGAATGCGTTTCTATCTTCGAAGTTTGTGTCGAAGTTTGCGTGGTAGACGATGGAGCACGGCTGCGACTCGATACACGGCTGCTGGTCAGGCAGTGGGAGCTCATCCAGCACGTCGACATTGGACAGGGCATCGGCGAGGGTTACCTTCTCCGTCGCCATGGCTGAACTCTGCGACAACGATGAAATTCATTAGATCGCAGGCTACACGGATATTAAAAGTTTATACAAACCAAGAAAAAATATCTTCGCGAGTTAACAAAATTGGTGTTTAGCGAGAGCGTGCATGCATTTCCTAATTTAATAACATAAACAATCGTTGCAGGGCCGCTATGTTAGCAAACCTAACACTGACACAATATGAGTACCATGGCCATATGTAAAGATGCACAACCACAGAACAAAAGGGGGAAGAGATTATTGACAATTCATTAGTCACAAACCTTACCATTTACATACATTGACATTGTTGATGAGTACTGTCTACTGGGTAGTATTAGTAACTTTAAACTTACAACTACAACTACAAGTTACAGTCAAAAGCACTTGGAACGTCTCAAAAAAAAAAATGTAAACACGAAATGTATTTTTAATACTACCAAATTCTTAATGTATCTCTACTCTATTTCGCCTATTATTGCCGATAACTTGCTGTAAATGCCGTTCAAATGCTCATCTGCAACACACAAGTACACCGCACGCCCGCCCTGTGCACAAACAACATGAGTAAGAGAGCAGGTAGGAAAGCGTGATAGCAAAATTCGCTCGACGCTCGCTTCATTTCACACCTTCACAGCACGAATACACATCCAACAGCTTCCATCTTGGTATCTATGTCTAGCTAAATGTTCACTTGTTCGAATTATAACTCTGGCCTTTGCAGGGCCTGACATTAAGGACTGCCCGATTGCCCGGGGCAAGTGGAATGGACGTTCGGGCAAGTGCAACGTGGGTCTAACTTGCCCGATCGGGCAACTGTAGCACATAGGCACGTGAAACAGTGTTTTACGGCTAGCGCAAATAGTGGAGTGTCAGTCTGTCTACGAGCGAGGATCGATTGTTTATAGTACAATGTGACCCACGAGTGCGAAGCGCGAAGTCTCTTGCGGCCGGGGTCCAGGGCCTGCGTAAGGGGCCTGGATGCTGCTCAGGGGGTTTGAGAAAGCGGCCCGCGAGGCACGCGTGTATAGCTATGCACATCGACGCTGGCTGCTGGCAGGGGCTGCATTGATTGGGGGGGAGGGGCACGATTGTTTCAGCATGGTACTAATCACTACTAAAATGTAGGGGGTGGGCATGATTGCTGGACAATGAGAGAGCGACAGCAAAACTCTTTCCTGGAATTGAGGAAAAAGCTACAATCGGGAATGACACACGCGTGTGCCGGCACGCAAAAATAAACGTGTGAATTTCATTACGATTTTCCATGGATTACCGTTCTATAATCCTACGGGTCGTTGGTCCTACGGATCTACATAGGCACGCCCGTAGGCACACCCGCACACACGCACACACACACACGCACGCACGCACGCACGCACGCACGCACGCACGCACGCACACACACACACACACACACACACACACATAGGCACGCACGCAGGCACACGCAAGCACGCACGCAGGCACACACGCACGCACACCCAGGCACGCGTACAGGCACGCGCGCATGAATCAGAGCATGTCACTTAGTCAAGTGGTTGTCAATGATGGCCTAGCAGGTGATGCTTTTCAAGTTTGGCCTCAAGGTAAAAAATATGAACAGAAGAGAAAATGGGTTAAACTACACATAATACAATATCGAATTTTCGGGCAAGTGAGATTGACATTCGGGCAAGTGAAAATTCAACCCAACTTGCCCAAATGGGCAAGTGGGTTGAAAAATTAATGTCAGTCCCTGCTTTGTTCTTACCTACTCCCGCCAGAGATATCTCGTGAAATCCTGCAGGAAATGTTCTCTTCGTGAAAATGTAAAGAGAGTGTAAAGAGGACGTATCATCCGAAAATCACTAACGGCGCTACTTTTGATTGATCACTGTAGTCGTGTGTGTGTGTGACGTCATGCCCGCGCGCATTATGCTTGGCTTGGCGGGCCTCGAAACAGAGGCTCGGAAGTCGGCAGCAGCTCATCCCGGCATGCAATGGGCCGCCATTACTCGTGTATAAACAGACATCTCGTCCTCTTTAC